TGATGGAGCTGCAGCCGGTCAGGAGCCGGCTCCAAGTGCAGCGGCAGAGCGGATGGACCCGGGGGTCCAGCGGGGAGCCCCATGCCCTGTCCCTGCAGCACTCTTCTCCCATGCCCTCTGGGATGTTGCCACCATGGGTGGATCGAGGACCCTCCGAAGGTTTTCCAGACGCCCTGTGTGTTCCCATCACACCGAGCTCAGCGGGGTCTGCCATGCAGTCCCCGGGCCGGCAGCGCAGCCTGCCACAGCCCTGCCCTCCTGCCTGCCTCTGCCTGCGCGTCCTGCCCCGGCTCCGGCCGTGTGTTTCTTTGCAATGACAAATTCACTGTTCCGTTTAACTCTTTCTTTTTTCAAAGACAGGGCTCTTGACAGCCGCAGCAGCGAGTCCCTCTGGTCCCCGAGGAGATGCAGCTTCCCATGCATCGCCGCCGAGTGTGGTGCTGGGCAATCCTGGCGTGGGCATCACGGGGGGCTCTGCCGGCCCCTCCTGCTGTGCCGGGAGCTGTTTCTCCTGCAGCCTGGAGCTGGGATAGGGCCAGGCTCGATCCCTGCCGGGTCTGAGCTTCCCCCCTGCTCCGGCAGTGCCCAGACCCTCAGATCAGGTGGTGGCAGGTCCCCATGTCCCCACCCGGCAGCAAGGGTGGCCATACTGCCTGTCCCCTGCCTTACCCATCCCACAGATCCAACCCCTCTGTCGGCGACCAGCCTCCGTGGGACCTTTTCCCAGCACCCCCCGCCCCAGCACTGTCACCCCCAGGTGCCGGCAGGACCCGCTGCTGGCTCAACCTGCGGCCGGCAGTGCCAGTCAGAGCTGTTAAGAAACTGTCTTTTGAAAGAAAGTGCTGGTTTTTGCTTCTTGTTTTGCTCTGGTTTTGCTTTGGTTTGCACAGAGAAGGACCCAGCTCTGCTCAGCCTTGGTTTGCTCATCTCATTTGCTTTGGAAAGTTTAATTTCTCCATGTTTTTATTTAACCCCAACCCCAGAGAGCTGGTCCTAATGTTTGAGCATTTGCACCGAGTCCACAACGGAGGATTTAGGAATTCAGAGGTGAAAAAGTTGCCCGACGGAGCCCCACCGCCTTATCACTCCTTCACCCCTGGCCAGAAAAGCATCATCCCTGCCGCTTGTTCAGGGGAAAGGTAGGAGGGTGCAGCCCCACGGCACCGCGTTCTCCCTCCTTTCTGCCCTCTCTCCTCTGCTCGTCTGTGTCCGCCCGTGGTGCCACCGTGGTGCCCGTCATCGCCAGCCCGGACCCCAGGGGAGCAGCCCCCAGCCCCGCTCCCCACCCAGCACCGTACAGGGGCACCCGTCCCATTCTGCCGCTGGCTGCCAGCACCGCTCCTGGCTTGCAGGTCCGGAGGGGGCACGTTTGGTCCCCGTGGATGGACTCTGGGCTGTTGTACCAGCGTGAAGCCTCTTGCAACGTTCAGCTCCC